CACTGGGGGGAAAGGCATGGCTAAAGTGCGGGTTTTTTGAGCCACATCAAAAGAGAAATGCGGTGGCGGGATCAGACACATCCCCCCAGCCGCCGCGCAGGTCCTCCCCGGCATGATCAGATGCCGGGAGGAAGCCACGGATCGGAGAGCAAGGCAAGCGCGCTGCGCATGCGTGTGCATGCGCAGTTTGGCAGGACCTTGCATGCTGCAGGAGAGACAGGCGTGCCGGCGATCAGACGACTGTCCCTGCACCGGATTTTCCAGTAGGTACTAGTGTTTTCTAGGAGGCTTTTTAATCCGCATCTTCGGTCGGAAGAGACAGATCGGGGACGGGTGCGCGCCGCTTCCCAGATGTTGCGGTGTGATTGCGCCCACTTGATGCACCTCCGGTTCGTCCCTCTTGCAGATCTAATCCTTCCATGTGATGGGGGCCTGAGATGCTACTCCCATCCTGAGAGCAACTGAGCCAGCTACATGAGAGAGAAAGCAATTGCCAACCAATTTGAATATAAGAAGGCTTCTAGCCAGATAAAAATAGTGGACTGGGTGCTACTTCTTGAAATTAAACTGGCTTACTCCTAATGGAACTGGAATTAAGTTTAAATTATTCAAGTTAAAAATCATTTAAAAATTATTACAAAACTATATTCCATTCAGCTGCATGTCTCTTTCCAATCTCAATAACCATGTTTGTGTCAGGATATTTTGAAAAAGAATTTCAGCTTTAATAAATGCAAGACAGTAAAAAAGAAATTAAACTGCATTCATAAGAAGTTAAGCTGTATCAAGAGGTTACACCTTCCAACCTTAGAGGATTACTCCTGAGGAAGACTAATGAAATGAGTATAAAACCGGATGCTCATGGAGGATATCATGATGTTGGACTTTTCCTTGAATATGTCAGAAATTCCTAAGCAAAATTGTCAAGTTTGAATAGATATACATAGTGATGTTTACATGAATTATTAAATGTTATTTTTATCACAGTATTTCCTTGTTTTTTGGTATGGACAGACTATGATGTTAGCTGATCATGGGTTAATGTTGGATGCTGCTAATGGTCGCCACCGGTTACGAATTTGCACTAGCACTTTATGCTATGTTTTATAAGCATTTTGCTGTGATTTTATGGAGTTCTGTGTTCAATATATTTTATGTAAGCTGCCCTGAGCCTGCCTTGGCAGGGAGGGTGGGATACAAATTAAATTAAAAAATAAGGACTGTACGAGCATGCCAAAAAAGCCGGATTTGTGCCCATCATGCAAAAGCAGAGGTTTATTCTTAACATCTAATTGAAGCCATAGTTAATGTATATTCATTCAATTTTGCTTTAGTTCACAGTTCTTAGCCTACAGATTTGTGGGTTTTTTTTCCATTTTACCTGTCTTATATTCAGCTTTATGAAAACTCCCAGGCTTCCTGCTTTCTCTGTTAAAGTGGTTTCCCAGTTTGCTTTTCTCACTACCAAGTAGTGAATTGTAGTGATGTAATCAGTAACTGTTTATTCATCTTGACAGCAATGAAGCCATTTAAACTTTTGATGCAAATTAAATGTGATCCTAATGGTGTTTCTAAACAGAAACACTGCAAGCTTCCAGTTACTTGAAAAATCAAAAGCTCCTTTTGTGTTTTATATATTTTTGTGCTTTTGATCTCCAGTAGCTAACTAAAATGTTTTCTCAATTTGATCTAATCTGTATCCTGATCTAAATGTTACGTTATAAAACCTTGCTCTTAATTAGCTTCTACAAACAGAAAACATTGCTAAATAGAAATGATATCTTACTAGCTGAGACCCAAAGAGCTATTTTGTCTCAAGCAGGTGGTTTGTACTCCTCTAGTGGGATTTTTTCTTCTTCCTTGAACAGCTCACTGCTATGCCATAACAAACTTCTTTTGAAATTTCACTTACTGTGCTATCCTAAGTAGAGTTACATCTTTCTAAGTCCATCCAATTCAATGGACCTAGAAAAATATAACCCTAATTAGAGGGGCACTGTACGTCAAAAATAGGGTTTGCCTGCAACTTACAAGGGTTTCTGACCAGGGATTCACAGGATTAGATTCATGATTCCTTTATTATGGACCTAGCTGTTATTACATTTTCTTAATTCACTGATCCTTAGCAGTCATCATTATATGTATCATTTATTTAACTGACTTTCGACTCATTAAATGAGAGCTACATTCATCCTGAGAATTCACAGTCTGTTGAAAGAGTTGTTTGTGATACATGAGTATTTTATGTTACTGGATAAGATTTATGCTGCTATTAGTTATATTTTTTTAAGTGAAGCTACCACTTAGCTTTAAAGGTATCTCTGAATTAGTTATGTTGTTTGTTTTATGCTGATATTATATTTTAATATTGTTTTTGTTTTTATGGATGTTGTTAGCCACCTAGGGAGTTGTTTAACTTGTACTTTAAATAATATCATGGCTGCACATGATAATCTGATATATATAAAAGCCCTAACATATAATCTGATATAGATATAAAAGCCCTAACAACCATGGCTGGGAGGACGGGATATAAATATAATAATAAATTTTAAAAAATATTGGTACTTTCCAGCTCTCCCATTGGCTGTGCTGTGCGCTCCATCAGTCATTGGCCTGTAAACTACTTCCACTCAAGAGTACTTGTGTGCCATTGGCTGGGTGCTGGGTCTGCTCCTCTCTCCCGCCCACTGCTGGCTTAGCCAACTCTTCCCTTCCCGTCAGAATAAACTGCCAAAACAGCTATCTATTCTAATGAAGAAGCTTCTCATGCTTGGTTCTTCCATGACTGGCTGGCTACTGAGGTGGGCCAGCGGCCATCAAACTATTCTCTTCTCCTCCTGTTGTGAGGCTCTTCCCCTTAGGGTTGCCAACCTGGAGATCTCCTGGTGTTACAATTGATCGATCTCAAGATGACAGAGATCAGTTCCCCTGGACAAAATGGTTGCTTTGAAGGGTAGAACATATGGCATTATACCCTGCTGAAGTCCTTCCCCTCCCCCAACTCTGCCCCCAAATAACCCCCCCCCCAAATCTCCAGGTGTTTCCCTACTCAGAGCTACTCAGAACCCTACTTTCCCCTCAGTGGGAAACTTTTAGTTTAGTTTAGTTTTAGGCAACCAAGCTTAGTTCTGTCAGTAAAAAGATGGGGGTAGGAGGCCCTTTCCAGGACTACTTTGGCCTTTGTGGGGAACTCATTGGGACCAGTCCTGACTAGGTTTGCCAGCTCCAGGTTGGGAAATTCCTGGAGAGTTTGTGGTAGAGTCTACGGAAGCCAGAGTTTGTGGAGGGGAGAGGCCTCAGCCGAATAGAATACCATAGAGTCCACCCTCCAAAGCAGTTATTTTCTCCAGGGGGAGAGAGATATCTGTTGTCTGGAGTTCAGTTGTGATACCAGGCAATACCACAGCCAGTGTGGCATAGCAGATAGCATTTCAGAGCAGGGTCAGCCAGACCTAGGTTCTTGCTGTGGAAGCTGAGTGGGTGATTTTGGACCAGTCACAGACTTTCAGCCTAACCTACCTCACATAGTTGTTCTGCAGATCAATAGGGGAAAATGAAAATGATGTAAGCTGCTTTGGTCCCCACTGCAGAGAAAGACTGTACTTTTCCTCATGGGGATCCATTGTTGCCAATCTCCAGGTGAGGGCTGGAGATCAGTCAGGATTACAACTGCTCTCTAGATGGCACAGTTCTGTTCCCCTGGAGAAAATTGTGGGCTCTGTGTCATTATACCCTGCTGAGGTGGCCTCCCTATGACAGCCAGTGTGATGTAGCAGTTAGCGCTTCAGATCAGGGACTTCCAGACCCAGGTTCTTGCTGTGGGAGCTGAGTGGGTGATTTCGGACCAGTCACAGACTTTCAGCCTAACCTACCTCACAGGGTTGTTGTGCAGATCAAAAGGGGGAGAGGAGAATGATGTGAGCTGCGAAGAAAAACTGTACTCTTCCTAGGTAAAAGCTGCAGGGAGGGGGGAGGAGATGGAAAGCTGAAGTCAGAGGGGCAGATAAAGGTAGGTTGATGGTTGGCTGGGAAAGAGATAGGGTTGCCAACTCCAGGTTGAAAAATTCCTGGAGATTTGAGAGATGGAGCCTGGAGAGGGTGGGGTTTGAGGAGGGCTGAGACCGCAAACAGGTACAATGCCTCCTGAGGAACCATTGTTGCCAATCCCCAGGTGAGGGGCGGAGATCACTCAAAACTACAACTGCTGTTCAGATGGCAGAGATCAGTTCTCCTGGAGAAAATGGTGGGCTCTGTGTCCTTATATCCTGCTGAGGTCACCACAGCAAACTGACACTGAGTGCCCAAGACCGGAGCACCCACCCAGAGCCCCTTTCTAGAGCCTATTGTATTTCATTTCCACAACAGTTCTTATTCCTAGTCTAATAATAAAGCTATTGCAATTTTTTTTGTAAATGGGTAAATTTCTCAATGAGAAATTAATGTATCCCACAAAAGCACTGACACTCCAAATAGATACCTGGAAGCCCTGACCTGAATAGCCCAGGCAAGCCCAGTCTTGTCAGATCTTGGAAGATAAGCAGGGTTGACTCTGGCAAGTACTTAGATGGGAGACCTCCTTGGAATCCCAGCAGTCCGGAGTCAGGTGCAGGCTTTATTCAGCCACCACTCTGAATATCCTCCAGGCCCCCAGTAGGGGTCAGTCACCAGAAGTCATCGTGACTTCCAGGTACACACACATACACACACATGAAAAATACACACACACACACACCAAAAATAGATACCCTGGCCTGAGTAACCATTAAAACTACCAAATAATATTACCAGTAATTTAATAGAAAAAGAAATCAGTTCTGCTTTTGACAGATGTAAGTTCTAGAACCTCTTTAGCTTATTGTTAAATACAGCTGGAAAACTTGACCACAAAGGTTTCTTGTAACAGTTTATGAAGTGTCTACAGATGTTCCTCATATGGTTTTCAAAAGTAAATTGTGTTGCTATTCTGGTTTAATTATTTCAATATTTTATGTTTGTAGGTCTGGGTGGATGCTGGAACACAGATATTTTTCTCTTATGCCATCTGCCTGGGATGTTTAACAGCCTTAGGCAGCTACAACAACTATAATAATAACTGCTACAGGTAATGTACAAATTTCTTTTATTCTGTTCCAGTTCTAGACTTGCAATAGATTTTTATCAACATGCATAATTTTAATACCCGTATTGATTTTGATGAAGGTACACTTAAACTCATAAATGCACATTCGCATAGACTGGTTTTGACAAACACATACAAAGGATTAAGGCCTTACATGATTGGATTTGTTCAGAATTTATTTGTGGAAAGTTATAAACTGTATGTATTAACTGATAGAAAATGTTTCTGGCATATTGTAAGCATGCAGGAATTAAGTGCATAGATAATAAAAGTGACATAGAGGTGAAAAATACTAAAATGCTGCATTTCCCACATTGTTCCTTACATTACATAAAGCTTACATATTACACAAAAATGTATCTCTCGTTCTCTAGAGAACTGACGTTTTGTGTAAAAAACCAAATAATTCAGCAGTACTAAAACCTATTTTGTAAATATTGTTTAAATCTCAAGAGCTATTTGAAAGCAGGTGATTGGCTCCCTCTAGTGTAAACTCGAATGCTTTTCCTCTTCAGTTCTAAAACTGGCAGTGTACATTCCACTACTTCCCTCTCTTATTCACTATTCTACATTTTTTCCTTAAGACTACTGTTTTGCAGAATGAAGTAATTAATCTCAACAACTGATTTGGGAAGACTGCTAGTACAGCGCCTTAGTTCATTTGATATATCATTTATATGGTACATCATAACATATTTATTTACTTAATTTTACTTTACGAAGTTCATATCGTGTCTTTCTGTCTCAAAAGGGCTACCAAGGCAGCCAACACATTAAAACATACATAGTAAAATCACATTTTAAGACCATTAAACCCAACCAAAAATCATTAAAACACTTAAAACCAGAGCAAAAAATACATGGTAAACATAAAAACAATTTAAAATATTGAAAAGCAAGGAGGTATCACTAAGGAAATGCCAAACAAAACAAAAAAGTCTTCACCTACTGGCAGAAGATGGTAGCAGAAGTGAACTGACAAATCTACCTGAGGAGAGAGTTCAAGAGCTTTGGTGCCATGACCAAGAAAGCCCTTTCCTGGTTTGCAGCCCACCTATTTTCAGAAGGCAGGGGCACCTGTAGCAGGGCTTCCAAGGATGATATTCGGGTAGGTTCATAAGGGAGTCCTTCACGTATGTTGGCACCAAACCATATAGAGCTTTAAAGATCAGCACCAGTGCCTTGATTTATGCCCGGAAACATTGGGAGCCAGTGTAGATGGGCCAAGACTGGTGTGATATGGTCCGTATAACCCATTTCAGTCAACCTCCTGGATGCAGCATTCTGTACCAATTGAAGTTTCTGCACACTTCTCAAGGATAGCCCCACTTAGGGCTCTTTAGCTTGGAGAAAAGACGACTGAGGGGTGACATGATCGAGGTTTATAAGATTATGCATGGGAAAGAGCAGGTAGAGAAAGAGGTACTTTTCTCCCTTTCTCAAGGACGTCCTTCTTCACCCAAAGAGTGATTAACACATGGAATTCACTGCCACAGGAAGTGGTGGGTGCTACAAGCATGGATGGCTTCAAAAGGGAATTAGATAAGCATATGGAGCAGAGGTCCATCAGTGGCTATTAGCCACAAGGTATAGCTAGGGGCTCTGGGGCAAGTGATGCTCTGTCTTCTTGGTGCTTGGGGGGGTCAACAGTGGGAGGGCTTCTAATGTCCTGGCCCCACTGGTGGACCTCCTGATGGCACTGGTATTTCTGGCCACTGTGTGACACAGAGTGTTGGACTGGATGGGCCTTTGGCCTGATCCAACATTGGTGTCTCTTATGTTCTTATGTTCTTATGTGTCAGAGTTCTCTCAGCCCCATCTACCTCACAGGGTGTCTGTTGTGGGGAGGGGAAGGGAAAGGCGTTTGTAAGCCGCTCTGAGACTCCAAGTGAAGGGTGGGGTATAAATCCAATCTCTTCTTCTTCTTCTTCTTCTTCTTCTTCTTCTTCTTCTTCTTCTTCTTCTTCTTCGAGGGAACACTGGTTGTATTCTATCTAGTAGTTTTTCATAATGATTTCTGCAAGTGAGAGATCTGCAGCATGTTTTATATAGATTTTTTTTCTTTTTATCCACCTTCAAGTGTTCTGAGATACTCAAATGGCCCAAGAGATTCAGAAAAACTAATCTGTGATGTCTAATCTAATCAGTACTGCCTGTTATAGCCTCTCTTCCATTTCTGCTGAACAGCAACATAAATATAAGTGGGGGAGATCCATGATCAGGGGTCAAGCCCACAGCTATGGTGGGGCTATTCATGGCTCTGCCCCCTTTCTTAAAGGGACAGTCCCACAAGATTTCCTTTGGGAACCCCCTTTTTTAAACATTTCTCAACACCCACTTGGTACATATTGGCCATCTCCTTTCCTTTGGCGGCCCCCTTGAAAATGTGAAAGCCCCCTGAAAATAAAATCCTAGCTACGGGCTTGGGAAGGTTTTTTTTAAAAAAAAACAACTTCAGAGCAGGGAAAAGGGTTTGACCACACTTCTGGTAACATGGGGTGTGGCCTAATATGCTAATGTGCTGTGCTGTCAGGGGTGTGGCCTAATATGCTAATTAGTTTGTGTTGTTGGGTGTGGCCTATTATGCTAATGAGTTCCTGCTGGGCTTTTTCTACAAAAAGAGCCCTGATTACCAATCTGTATTGTGGCCCATTTCTCTTCTCCCTATATAAGTCCTTCCACAAGTTGAGGTACAATCAATGCAACATCCATTTTAACAAGGATCCAATTCTTTTTGATCTGTACAGTTTTTTTCAGTACAGCTTGTGTTAATTTAAAGTTCAAGAAAAATTGATATAATGCAGTAACATAGTGCAATATTCACCAGTTTATGGAACATATCTAGATATTATTCATTTTCTCTGCCTTTTTCTTTTAAGTATCCAGGGTCTCTTGAACTATGTATGCAATGCATTATGGCTTTAGAGTTACTTTATGAGGGAGGAAAGAAAAATATTTCCCTCCACCTCACAGTTTTCTAATAATCAAAATATTTAGGACTACCCATGTAGTGATGTCATAAAGACTTTTCGCACTTAAAGCAAGGGACATTATTCATCTTGTTACTAAAATCAGCTACCATGTCAGGCCTGTCATGTGAAGACTGCCACAAGTGAAGAACTAGAACACAAGTCATTGTAACTGGTTGTATATATAATGCAGTATATCTTTCAGATATATATTTACACGTAACCAGCAAGTAATTTATTGCCCTATCCAAGATACAGAAAATTTGAGACAACAGTACAACCGAGGGAGCAGTTGCAATTATACCACAGAAATGTGTTACTGCATTACTCTTTAGTTAGTTAAAATGCCCAATACTGTTATTCCTAATTATGTTCCTACTGTGTGGCTAATCCAGAGAAAACCAACCGAGAGGAAGGAGATTGTTGAGGAGTTTCTGAAAGACAGGAGCAGAAGGTGCTGTGGGATAAATGGGGAACTGAGTTCAGGATTAAAAAGGGAACAAGTCCTGAGCCAGGTAAGAGATGCAGTGGGGACTGAGCAGCTGACTGAAAGGCAGACTGGCCAAGAACAGAAGCTGAAATGCTAAAGAATTAGGAGCAGGTTGAAATATATGAAGGGTTAAATTTGGGAAGGTGAGCAGAATAGGAGAGAAGAAATCATACTCCAACTGTCTTGAAGAGGAAGATACTGGTGATTGTGGAGGTGGCAGAATATTCTGAAGGCTTGGAATGCCCTTGCTCCTGAATGTAGTTGGGTGCCAGTGGAGGAGGCCAGCTATTGGCTAGTTTGGTGCAGAACTAGGATCCATGATGGCATTTGGCCAAAGCTTTGGACCCTGACTGCCCATTGGTTGCATTCATATTGGTACAGCCTTAGGATCCAAGACCCGATTGGTGGGAACATAGGATCCAGGCCATGATAGGATAGTTCAATCTTCCTGTGGTAGTAAGGAACACAGGAAGGTGCCTAGGAAGTGAGGAGGGGATACCTAAGATGATTCCGATTACATGTGATTGGATTAGAATTTGCGTGTTCTTGACTTAGATCTGCTTACCCTTCCTGGGTAAATCATCAGGGAGCTGCATTGTGAAATAGATTCCAAGAGCTTTCAATACAGTCCAGCAAATTTGGCTTTCTGTTTATGGCAAAAGGGTATGAGGTGCTATGGAGGTTCAAATGTTCTCCTGGAGTATTCAGGCAATTGTGTATTTGCTGGGGGGACTTCCTGCCTTGATTGAGAGACTCTGTTTTTAATGTCAAACTAGGTTCATTTCTCTGCAACTAGGCTGAAGAATCTAGGAGTGCCGGTGCCATGGGTATCATTGGAATGGGACTGCTACAAAACATGCTCTCTCTCTCTCTCTGTGCTGCCAATCCAAATATAATATTTCAAAATTTTGACCATATTTAACTTTACATCCTAATTGAAGTTACAAATATCAATATACTTAATTTTCAACAGGCCCAAATCTGTGGATACTTGTATATGGAGATTAGCACCATGAACAGACAAGAGAGATCTTTTTACAAACCTGAAAAAGCTCCAGGTTTGCAGATAAATCTGAAATCTAAGAAAATCCCACCACCATTAGAGGGTTAACTGCATCCCTAAGATAATAGGAACAGCACCTGTAGCTTAAAAAAAATGAATGGCCTCTAGAGTGGTGATTGTGCAGGTTGCTAGACAACCACAAAAGTATTGCCAGGTTTCAAGCCTTGGTTTCTGTCAGTAGAAAGCAGTAGAGTCCTCTTTAGAGGCCAAAACCGTCCTAGAGAGGGCCCTGATGTTTCTATATTATAGTGGTTGCCTAAGCAATAACCACTGAGGACATCTGTTTCTTAAAGCTATGTGCTCTCCTTTTATCATTTTCATAGGGGTTCAAACACCCCCCATTCTTTTTCTTAAGATTTCAGTTTTTTTCTACAAAAAAAATGGCCAGAGCAAAATGTCCTCAGTCTCGGTATTTAAATATCTACAGATAGGACCGTGTTGAGAATTAGATACATTGATATTATATGTGAAATAAACTAGGACAGGTACAAAAATAATTATTTCTCTTTTTTATTTCACAGAGACTGTATTATGCTCTGTTGTTTAAACAGTGGCACAAGCTTTGTGGCTGGTTTTGCAATCTTTTCTGTCCTTGGCTTTATGGCTTATGAACAGGGGGTGCCAATAGCAGAAGTTGCTGAGTCAGGTATGTGTTTGCTATTTTCTGCAAAGTGCATTCCAGTGCCCCCTCTATCAATTGAATCAAAGGGAGAAGGTGTGGCGTTTGCTGCAGCTGGCAAATAAAAGGGCTGGTCATCTGCCCCAGCATGCCCTCACATGCTGCACTGAGGGGTAGGGTCAAAGGTTGCCACAAGAGGCTGGTGTCCATTTCCACAGTCCCTCTTTGTCCCTGGCCAACAAGCTGTCAGGTGGCAGTGGTGTGGAACAGAACATGGCACCAGCCCTATTTCCCTGGGCCTTGGTTAAGTAGTGTGTGTGGGGGGAAACAACTGCTGAGTGGCACAAGGTCTCCTATCCTTTTGGCACCTGCCCTTCCTCCCTTGTGCCTTGTTCCCTTAGCTTCTGCAGCATTCCCCAGCCTCCTAGCCTGTTGGCACCTGCCTTTCCTCATTCAGCACCTCATTTCCTGTTTTTATGTGCTATATTACCATAGTATAGCATAGCAAAACAGGTGCCTTCTGCACAGTTGCCTTACCCACAGGGCAATTGAAAATGTTCTGACATTCTTTTGAGCTCTTCCTGAAATGGGAAAGGATGCCTTTTTCATGCGTGGAAATGACTGTGAACATTGCTCCCCCCCCATATCAGTTCAGCTGTGATTGCCGCATGTCGTCTTATGGGATATGACTAAAGAAATTCTAATTATCTATATCCTGTAACAGAGTTGGGGAAATTAAGCAGTACCACACATGCAGTCCCACACATTTTATAAACGTTACTGCAGCAAGAGGATTTTCCCATTAAGATTTTTTTACAAACATCTAGGATTCAAAGGGCAGCCTTGGTTGCAAAGCAGATCATGTCACAAATCACACCACTGTAAATTTCGTATTCTTTTCTCTGCGGATGATTAGGTCAATCAATGATATGTTAGATCTCTGTATAAGGGAGAGCATCAAATACAACAGACAAGAAGCTCCTGTGAACTTCACTTCCATTTGGCAAGATCTCTTGTATCTCTTTGAGTAGTGATGCCTCTCCTTATCCACTCCTTGCTTGGCTGGATCTGTATTAATTACTGCCTCTAACCCTCCACTCCCATTCATACTTCCCCTCTGAAATCTCTACTTCTAGCTGCTGGAGTGTGTGCAGCTCTTTCTTTTCTTGTTTTTGAGCTATCTTGGGGGAAAGGGTGACAGGGTGGATGATAGTGTTACATGGAATAGAGACGACTAAGGGGGGACATGATAGGACTTTATAAAATTATGGATGGAGTGGAGAGAATTGTCAAAAAGAAATTTTTCTTTCTTACCCAAAGTACTAGAACTTGAGGGCATCAAGTGAAGCTGATTGGCTTCAGGGCAGACAATAGGAAATACTTATTTAGAGAGTGATTAAACTGGAATTCGCTGCCAGAAGATGTAGCGATGGCCACAGAAATAAACGGCTTTAAAAGGGGATTTGATTACTGGGGGATACGTCTGTCAGTGGTTACTAGCCATGGTGACTGAGGGAAACCTCCACATTCAGAGGCACTAAGACTCTGAGTCCCAGAGCCAGGAGGGAAGTCTCAGCCTCTATGCCCTGTTGTTGCCCCTCCAAAGGAACTGGTTGGCCACTGGGCAAGACAGGATGCTGGACTAGAGGGACCCTCACTGGTCTTGTCCAACAGGGCTCCCCTTATGTTCCTACGAAGTTAATTGTTACATTTACTATCCTACCTGGAAAAACAAGGGAAAGTCAGCGCAGGCATGTTTAAATGCCTTTCCCTCTGAGGAATATGCCTGTGCTGACTTTCCCTTCCCTCCCTGAGTCTCTCTGCAACAGCGGAGAGGCTCAGGGAGGGAAGGAGGCATGTCTCCATGCCTTCTCTTGGCTTCCCCAGCCGACCTGCCTTCAGAAATAATATATAAGCTCATTATTCATAGTTCTAACAACTGTTCTTTGCCGGTTGTAACATCCTCTTTTCATTTCCATATTTTCTTAGCCATGGTATTATTTATTTACAAGATTTATATCCCTATTTCTTCCCAATTAGGTCCACCAAAGTAGCTGATATTGACCATTTTTAAGAGGGTACTATGTAAAGGCATTATTTGATTTGAAGCCATTACCATAATCATAAGGAGGTTGTTACTAAAATATAAACAATTCCTGTTTTATTTTTCAGGACCTGGACTTGCTTTTATTGCTTACCCAAAAGCTGTAACTATGATGCCTCTTTCTCCATTATGGGCAACACTGTTTTTCATGATGCTCATCTTTCTTGGACTAGATAGTCAGGTATGGATTAAAGTAACGTAGAACCTAGCATTCTTATAAATTATGTGAAGACCTTAGTTTCTTTTGAGCTAGGAGAATCTTCTGTGACTTAATGTTGTAATAAAGTTATGGAAGAATTGTTCCACTGTATCTACAACATTTTTTTTTTGTTTCAGCTATCATTATATCGATAAATTATAGAAGTTAAAATAGCCATTTCACATATGCAGATCATGTTTGTTTAATGTTAACATGGTCAGAAAGGGATGTTATATGCTGCAAGCAGTGGAAATGAAATAAAATCCTGCTTAATGATTGTTTGGATTTTTACACTGAATACCACTTTAGAGGTCTCCTCTCCAACAGTTTGGGAAGCAGGGGGAACCTAGTATGCACATTCTTTCTGATGAAGTACAGTGAAAAAAGAAGAAAACTAATGCACAGAAACCACAAATTTAATTTAATTTATTATTTAGAAAAAGACATCATAGAAGAATTAGACATATTCAAAACAACTAGACACAAAAAGGAACAGATTTAGAGATGTAAAATTTCTGGAAATGTTGAAGCCACGGGGAAAAAGGGAAAAATTATTCCTGTTAACTGTATTCCAGGATTAGATGGAGATTCAGTTCCTGATGTAGTATTCTGCCGTGAAACTCCTGTAGAAATGTTATCAAGTGGTGCAGGAATGACATACAAACTGTACTGCCTGGGTGGGAAGGGGGCAAGTAGAGCTTACTGCACATATCCTATAACAAAGTATTCTAAGAATCTGTCATGAGCCACATTCCTCTAGAACAATAACAGTGCCAACAAAAATGTATATGAACAGTTGTAAACAGAAGTTTTGGAGAAGTGTGAAACACTGATCTGGCTCATTTGCCTCATATAAGATGCTTTACTTGCTTTGGTACAGATAGAGTTTACTTTGCTGTACAGGACTGGGCTGTAAAAGATGCAAGCAACGTTATGCAGTAGCCATATGATAAATAATTATTTTGTATGTCCTTTCCTCCTCTGCATTATTTTTTACAGTTTGTGTGTGTTGAAAGTCTCGTAACAGCTGTGGTGGATATGTATCCAAAGGTTTTCCGGAGGGGATACAGACGAGAACTGCTGATACTTGCTCTGTCAATTGTGTCATTTTTCATTGGTCTTATCATGTTAACAGAGGTAAGAAAGAACTGTTTTCTTGCAGAGCTAAAGGCTAGAAAAGTTGTTGTTGGTGGAACGTGCCATCAAGTCACAGCTGACATGGTGATCCCATAAGGTTTTCAAGGCAAGAGATGTTCAGAGGTGGTTTGCCATTCCCTGCCTATGGTCTCTCAACCAATACTGAACTGAACTGATCAGGGGTGACCCTGCTTAGCTTCTGAGATCGGACAAGTCCAGGCTAGCCTGGGCAATCCGGGTCAAGGCCTAGAAAAGTTAGGTTGCCCTTTTTTAAACACAAATGTTTGAAGACTGATAAAATACTATAACAATGAACTATTGATAAAATGATGCTATGTGCTATAAAATATTTAGAAATATAAAAACATTCTGTTTAAAAGCACTGTGGAGTTACAGTGATAAGCATAACTATGGAAATGTCTTTGCGCCTTCGCTGTCACATTGTTCGATAGATGGGAATCCCAAAAGTCCTTCCCTTTGGAGGTCTTGGAAAATTAGGTGTTCTTTTAATTAAGAAACTAATAACTTCATTCTCTTCTCATATTGAACTCAGTGGTTTTATCAAAGTTAGTAAATGTTTAAGCATTCATGCCACTAAGCATGAATTTCCTGGTGTGAGGATGCAGTTTTTCTCACAGTCGTTTTAGTATGTAGAAAAATATAACCTGTGTTGACTCTAATGTAGTCTTATCACATGCTGAGCTAATACAGTTACAAACCATCCCAGATATGGGTTAATAGCCCCGGTCACACGGAGCATTAGGCGCGCTAGAGAGATGGAAGATAGGCGGATTTTCCGGGCGCGATCTCACCACCACATCTGGGAAGCGTAGAGCTCCCATGGCGCACCCGAGGCTTCCCGCTGAAGATGCGGGGTAAAAAACTAGTACCTCGGAGGTACTAGTTTCCGGAAACCGAGGGGCAAGGGCGGGTGTCTGATCGCGTTTCTGGTGGTAGTTCTGGCGCCCGCCCATGTCCCCTCACAAAAAGTTTTTTTCCCCCAAGTCTCCACAGATGTGCAGAAGCACCCAACAGAGCATGCGCACATTTCAGTTCTAAAAACAAACACAACCCCGTTTGCCACGCTGCTCCGCTTCTTTGCCACGCCTGTGATCGGCACCTCTCCCCTAACCAAGGGAGCTCGACGGGACCTCAACCCAGTGCCTGATCGCGCAGTCGCGCGTTAGTTTGCTCCGGGGCAAACAGCCACGCCTCCCCCCCCCCGCATTTTCCTGCCCATGTGGCTGAGGCCAATATTCACCAAGTATTGAATTCATGAAATATCTGAGGGCAAAAAATGGATTGCACTGGGCACATATAGCATGTAGTGCACTGCGAACAGCTTAAAGTCAGCCTTATGTTTTCTTTGGTTACTAAAGTTACTGTGAGACTAGTCTCCTGTCTTGTGTAGCCTTCATATAATGTTCTTCAGGTTTTAGCAAAATAATTTCTGGGAGTGAATTTCAGCAGCATCTCATTCAGTTCAGATACTTGATAAATACCACATATGTTCTTGCTTGTCTCTCCTATTTTCTGTATATCTACAGATAAATATATCCTAGCCTAAGTAAAAGCTCTCTCGGACTAAGAATTTGGATCTTTCATTTTCACTATCTTTGACAGCCAAATAGCATATTTAATATTGAAAGGTAGAAAGGAAAATAGGAGTATTACTAGGAGTCTTGCGGGAGAAAGGACTGACATTCAAATATGCAGGAACAGAATAAGGAGATTTCAAGAGTGACAACTTACAGAAGGTGAACCACAGGAACAAGAAGATGGTACATAGATGGTAGAAGATGTGGGGGTCTCAGCTTCTCATCAAAAAGACATAGGCTTGGATTAAGACTAGATGTTTCTTCAGGCACAAGCATTTCTGCTTGTGTAGTATTATTTCCTGCTCCCTCTCCCACAGCAGCTTGAACTGCCCCCCCAAAAAAAATTGTGTTGCTTATGGGTCCCTTCTCCAGGAACAGGATTTCAAGGGGGTTTCTGGCTTACACAGAAAGGTATGAAAATCATACACCTTCCCCTCACAGAAATGTCAATCTAATCCATAGAATACACAGTACAGGACACACAGAATTTATTTTCTCCTGAAAGGTGTTACTTGTAGGGTTGCTGCAGGAGAATTCATACACCACACAATTCTATTATGCTTGCAGCAGAGCCTTCTATACCATCTTAAGAATTCTTGCTTTGATGAAACTTAACCATGCCACCAGAACAAAACGTCATGTAACAGTGTAATGCTCTAAGTCAAACCTAATAAAAATATTCCAGATAGCATATACACTGTATAATGTATATGGCTCATGAGCATGGAAATATGAGGCCAAAAAGTAAAAGGGCAATGCAGGCCTATAGTCACCTACCCAGGCAGGTTCCAGGTACCAGTATGAGTTCTGGGCATGGGTTCAAAGCATCTGGGCAACCAATAATCCAGAACAGTAAGCAGAGCAGAGAACCCTTGGGAAAGGGAAGCAAAGAGGCATGTGACATGTGCCAGGACTCTCCCTCTTACAAGGCTTGGACAGACAGCTCTCTATAACCACACAAGTCAGGAATGAACATGTCAAGAAACACCATTCAGGGAACATGGTCAATAAGGGCACAAGCAGCCAACTAGCAGAGCACACCAAGTAGAATCTGGGAACAGATTTTGGTTCCAGTTACAGGACCACAGACTTGAATGAAAACAAAAAGATTTCTTCCTATCTAGGCTTGGGAAAAGGGAAGGGTGAGGAGACTTGGAAGCAGGGGGATAATCACAAAAGGTTCTGAAACTATTATTTCATATGGTTGTACATTCATACAATTCTGAGGATGTCTGACATAAAGAAAAAAACATGGAGTGCTGACAGACTTTAATAAAGTTGTTGCAAACTAGGGAAACCTACCACTCTTTATATGAAAGATCCTATGTTGGATAAGTTAATTTAAATTTGTTGCCATTTCTTGTGGTGTCTGAAAATAATAAAGTAATTTTCATAGAGCTACTATTTTAATAGGTTTTATACAGTATGACTGAGGTAGATTAAGGTTTTTCACAATTTCCAAAACCTGCTCAAAGTATAATGTTTGTGTTGAAGAATGAATCTTAAAGTTTTTCTTTACTTAACCCAGGTCATGTAGAAATCCAGTATTACATGCTCTTCTCTCATTCCTTTGGTGAACCGTGAACCAAATTCATCTTGTTCCATATAAGCTGTAACTTTATGAAGAATTTCAATCAGGTGCAGTCTCAAAGAAAAGGAGTAAGCCGGCAGTGTGGCTTGATTTTGGCTTGTAAGGAAAAGCTATATTATACAGAGATTTTGTTTCCCTCCACTATGCTGCCCAGAATAGAGCCATTGTTATATTTTCTGCATATAAACTAGAAGAAAGATATTCCAAAATGCAGCATGCCTTGCTTGAAAGAATGCAATGCATATCAATATATACACCCTGCAGCACTGCTGCAGTGTTATAATGGACCACCAAATGGCACTGTTGTGCTATATATCATCATATAAAGGCTATTTCTGAGAAGTACCAGTGAGCTACGCATAGGGTGAAAACATTCATTTTTGTTCATGAGGTCTACACTGTGCACTCCTTTAGTGTGTAGTTTCTTGGGAGTATTTTAAAACAATGCTGAAGAAGCTTTGCTGTGCAGTGAAATTCAACCTCAGTGTTCCTTTACAAAGCCTGGAGCTAGACAAACTTAATGATTGCATCAAAAGATAAATGGCTTAACTTGCTGGTAGAGATTAACCATTTTACATATGAATATAGGCACTTTGGTGTACTCCCAAGAGCATACATAGAACCCTTGCACATAGCTATGCTAAGCAAAATGTTGTCTATAGTTACTTAATTGTGTTTATTATAAGATGTAAGGAAAACTAGAGCACTGGCATATCTGAAGAGTTTATTATGGGACCATAGATTACATCGAGATTTTGCCTTTTCACACCAATATTCCATTTGAGTCTGGCTCTAGCAGATACTGTTCTTTCAGAAGATTATCTGTGTCTTTATATTTACCCATAACAGGCAATTGAAGCAATCTGCATATTCATATATGGTGCTTCAGAGACCAAAAGGTTCAGTAATTTGAAGCTTGAATAGTGAAGCTGAAAATAGGATGCAATTGGAAACACAATTTGAAAGAGGATGATGCTTAATGCTGCATTATCATAAATTAAAGTATAATGCTACATACATCTTGTCTTGTCTTTCCCCCTTCAACTCCAGATGTTTACTATACTCATGGAAATATGCACAGATAATAGGCTTCTAAAGGTTTTTCTCCAATTTGTATAGGTTTAGTCCAAGCCCACACTAGATCTAAATCTGATGGGAAGGACCATTTATTAAATGTATTCACCACCAAGTTGTCGCATCCATTTCAGTGCCAAATATATACACAAATTGTGGGACGTAACTGATTTAAGACATAATATTCTTTAATCTATTTAAGGATATTGTATAAGAAAACAGGTAACTAAGCAATGTAGGCAGGATGTTAAATGCTGTAAACTTGATAACCTTGGACAAACCTGATATAAAATATTTTTTATAGAGAAGAAGCAGGAAATTGTATCATAAAATGTAAGGAAAAGGAGATTACATCATCTGATGTTTGTCTTCTGTGATGCCTTTTACTTAGCCAGTAAAGCTTACAATTAAGAGTTCACTGGCTGCAGTCACACGGAACATTAGCCACGCAAGAGAGATGGAAGACAGGCGGATTTTCTGGGCACGATCTCACCGGCACATCTAGGCAGCATAGCGCTTCCGTGGCACAACCGAGGCTTCCCGCCAAAAATGCGCAACAAAAAACTAGTACCTCGGAGGTACTAGTTTCCGGAAACTGCGGGGCAAGGGCGGGCGTCTGATCGCGTTTCCGGTGGCATCCGGCGCCCGCCCATGTCCCCTTGTGGAAAAGGGTTCCCCCCCCCAAGTCTCCGTGGATGCGCACACGCAAAAAAAGAAAACCAGTTTGCCGCACCGCG